ATATTGCAATAATTTGTTTTTTAACAGCATGACTAACTTAATCAATATATAATTACTATACTTTCTAATCTAGAAGATAAATGTTTTACAAAAGTGTATTTCAGTGATTACTGCTTGCTTATTTTGATCAGGTTTATTTGGTGCACAACCACCTGTTTATCATACCAGCATATGATATGCAGTGTAATATTTGGATATTTCTTTTTGCAAGAAATAAGTGTTTCCTAGCTTAATAAATGTGGTTGTTCATTGGCCACTGAATGACTGTTATTGACTGAGGGACAGCATGTATACACACACACACACACACACACTATATATAAGAAGTCCATAACTGAATGATGAAAAAAAAAGCATTTATTTTACAATATAAGCTCATTCTTTGTCAGTGCACTTAATTCAGTGATGAATATTAGTAGCATAGATCAAAATGCAAAGGATTACATGTCAGGTTACACCTATTGAATCACCTTCACTCACACACATGCACACACACATGTCTCCTATAAGACAGTAGTCAAACTGATCTTTTTTGCTATGTGGTAGATGATACCAAAATATTAACTGAACCTTATCTCATAATATTGCTCTTAAAATACAAAAGCTTTCAATCCTGACAGCTTCTTATCTTGATTATATTTGCTTATTTTTTTTATTTAGAGCACCCACAGGTCATTGTTGATGTTCCTGGTCAGTCGTCTATATCAGTACCTCACTCCCGGCGCAGAACAGTTGGAGTTATTGATATGGGAGGTGGATCAATGCAGATAGCATTTGAGGTCACCAAAAAAATCAAATTTGATTATGCTATGGTAGGTACAAATTCATACACTCATGAATTAATTCATTAGTTCTCCACCAACCTTCATGATAAAACAGAAGCTGTGGGAATGGGTTTTCAGAGTTTAGCTCTGATGGCAGTCTAGCCATACTTTCCACCTGTATCCTGAATTAAAAACAAGAGAAGTTGGCTACAAATCAAACATTTAAATTTTGTTGAGAAATAAAAGAAAATCTGTGCTTCTCCATCATATTACAGACACTTAGCAATAAACAATTTAATATTCCCATTCTATAAATATTTGTTTTTGCATTCATTCATATTGTAATTTGTAAGATGTGCCCTGGAAGCTAAATGTTAAAAATGTTTTGTTTTGATTCAATTCAACCCATTACATTAAAGAGCTTTCAGTTTACTGCACCGAGCTGTCAGCACCTGACAACTTGCCATTATGGCATTTCATTGTGTAAAGTAATTATTTAACTGACTATTTCCTCTCTCCTGTATGAAACATGGAACAGAGAAGAATATTTCACCTTATGGAAAACAGGCTGTGTTCTCCTTTACTGATCTGCTATGATTATTTCCCTGGATGGTCATATCTGAAGATAATTGATTAGGGAGTAGGAGTCAGTGTGAAATTCCATGGATCCTGAAAGAAAGTTATCTTCATTGTTCTTTGAATTTTAACTTTTTACCTAACAGTTCATTTCACTGTAAAATATATTTTATTATTATTCATTCTTGAATTTTTATTATTGTTACTTCTTTGCAACTAGTAATAGATATAATAGTTTTAAGTTGGCCAGATATTCATGATAAAACTTTATTATTATTTCTTTATGACTAGTTTTTCTTTTTTATTTTTGTGGCTTGTATACAAATAGTAGTTTTAATAGTCTTATGTTGATTATTAAATTTTGACAAATCTTTCATTCATCTTACTTGTTGCTTGACATCACAACACTTAGATGTTTTTTTTTATGTATATGTTGTTTGTGACTGAATTGGTAAAGTGCTGTCATTGTAAGACAATCTCCCAATGATAGGAAATGAGATTTTAAATCTCACAGGAGATTCATTATTTCGGGCCCATGCCACTGAGTTAATGGTTGTGAAATAAATGTAAAAATTTTACATTTACGATTTTGAGTCATGAGCAACAAAATCAGCTGACTTGTCAAAAAATGATAACAGTTCTTCGGCCATCAATTCAAATAAAACTATTGTGTTTTTAGTATTTAGTGTAAGCAACCAACAAGAAAATCTAGTGAAAAGGAATATCAGTGAAAATGCTTCATCTAAGAAATACTCACAACTTAAGATTAAGGCAGATGTTAAAAATTTCTCAGCCAAAGTTTTGAATATGATTTCTTAGCACAAGCAGGGGGATTACTTGTTGTTTCTTTTAATTTTAAGTTTATCGATGATATTTATCAAATTGAGTACATTGAAATAGTACTTACTTCATACTGGTAACTAGAACCATCTTAGCATTTCACAACTACAGTGATACCTTGGCTTAAGTTGTTTTGAGTTAAGTCATTTTTGAAGATATGCTGGTTTTTTTAAATATGATATGGAAAAATAAAACTAGCCTTAGGTTGTTTTACTTGAGTTTACGTAAATTTACAATTGTTTTTTACTTAATTATTTTTCATTATTTTATTCAGAATACTATACATACTTATTGTAAATACTGCAATAGGCAATGGCGAGTGCTTATTTGCAGTTTATAGTGTGGTTATTTCAACTTCAGTTGTTTTTCGACCTAAGTCTTGACCTCTGGAATCAATTAATGACATAAGGTGAGGTATACCTGTATGTTTAAGATGATGTGTGGGTAACTTGACTGTTAAGTGTGGAAAGAAGAATTGATGAGCTAATACTGGTCTAGTCTATTGCATTCCTTTTCACATTAATGCACTTGGGAAAGGAATAAATCTATCTTTTCTTGCTCCCACAACAATGGGATAAATAGTATGGCAGACTGGGCTCTCTAATCTTAGATAGTAGCCAGTCTAGGAGAGGGAAATTTCTGAATTCAAGACTATAGGGGAAATGCTCTGCTATCTTTCCCAAGAAGTCATGACAATTTACAAATAATAAATAAAAGGAATCTGTTGGGAGCCATGATCACCTACATACTAAAGGGACATGGGATTTAAAAAAAAAAAGAAAATAAAATAAAACTGTTTAATGAGCAAACATAACCTAATTTGGATAATTTTTGTGGGATTTCCTAATGTCTAGATTAAAAGCTTTCATCATACATTGTTAGTTGAGGGTCTTTCTACTGATTTTAGGTACTTATGAGTACACAAAATGGGCTAGATTTGGTCTCCAAACAAGTGGGTCAAGGGGAAATATTGGCCAATGGGTTTCTTTAATAAATATTTTTGTAATCAAGCCAATTTCTTTTGATTCTTTTTTTTTTCTTTTAGGAAAGTCCTGCACAAAACCTAATGGCAGAATTTAACCTTGGTTGTAAAAGCACTGACCTTGACCACAATTATCAATTGTATGTCTCCACATTTCTTGGATATGGTGCCAATTCTGCCAGAGAAAGATATGAGGAAATGTTGCTGCAACTCTCTGCTAACAGGTAAACAAAAAGAGAAAGTTTTGAAAAATCTCTTCAGGCTGCTTTAACAATTGAGTAAATTTCCAATCCTGTTGTGTTCAACTTGAAACCTGAATTATGGTTACTTTCTGTCAGAAATTTTGTGATGAGGAATTATAATTATATGCTTTGCTATTTGGACCAATAATCTCGGTTTCATTGTTAAACTTGAAATGTTTCAGCCATTGTAACTTCTGTAATTTAGAATTATGGAATTTCCAAATTCTTTCTGTTGATACAGATGTTAAAAATTAAAGACTTTTTGTTTTTTTTAACTTCTTCCCTTTTTATACTTACTTTTATAATTATCAATCTCAAAGACTTTAATATCATATTATAGTTTGGCATCTTCCTTTGTATGTTACATCCTGCCAATATTTTAAATAATGGACTATTCCATTTTGAACACAAGGAAATAAGGAAAAGACATATCAAAGATGCTATTTGCATTCAGTGAGAGAACGAAAGATAGAGAAAGTGATAATGCTCTCATGAGTTTAACATTTACTTTAGTGAAATGGAAAAACTTGTAAAATTAAATACTCCAATATAGACAGATGAACACAGCACATTTAAAAAAAAAACAAGAATATGAATTTTCTCTATCACAAGTATGTAATGAAAGCATGGTGTAATAATGGTACAACCTACTTTTTTTGTCTTTCACTGTCATCTTCTTCCTTTATATTTCTCTTTCGTACTCTCTGAATAACTTTCTTGTATAAATTACTAGCTGTGAAACAAACCTGCACCAATAGAATTTGTAGTGATTAAGGAATAAAAGCAAGTAGTATTCATCTTTTAAGTATTTCCACAAAGGTTGTACCAAATTTGACAAACAATTTGTATTTAAGATATATTTATATTAAGTGAGAGAATTTCAAATTCTATTAGCTTTCACCATTAAAAATTGAATTACATTCAAGAAATTTCATTTTCATTTTTAAGTGTGTGTGTGTGTGTGTTCAGTGGTTATCAGCTTGGAAAGTTAGAGTATAATGCTAAATTCCAATTCTGTCCATGATCATTGCATTCACTTTATTGCAAATACCCTTGAGAAAGTTATGAATCCATTTCTTCTGGGCTTTCTAGTTTGATTTAAATTGGCAAATTATCATCTGGGGTCAAGTTTCAAATTCTAAAACAATTTTTGTTATTCACAAAAATTTTATTGCATATCAAATTTGGTTTTGCTTACTATCCATTGTTCACTGTGTGATATTATGGTATTTTTGTCAAGTGGATAAAAAATTCTTTCCTTAGATGTGTTGTAGAGTAGTTTTCACAGTGGAGGCTTGTATTTCACTAAGTCGGTCCTAAAAGGTTAGACGTACAAAACATTAGGAACTTGAAATAATAGTTAATGACACAGCAATCTAGTTGTGGTGGTTGATACTTTAATGTCCGACATCGACTGACTCACCCACTCACTGAGCCCCCTCGCCACTGCTACTACTACTACTTATTATATGTGGGAGAGTCTATTAACAATAGAATAGGTATGTTCCGGTATAACAAGATGACATGCATGATTCCCACTTGGGTGATCATGTCGCTTTTTGATTGATGATTGACTTGGTAGAAGAAATCCTGCAGTAGGCTAGTTGTCAACCAAGGCTTATAGAACCTTGTCTGTCTTACTATTTAACCCATAACTTGAAGAAGAGATGGATTCATATCTTTCCCAAGGGTATTTGTACATAAATGAATGTAACAAACTTGATTAGAATTCAAACTTGGCTCTCCAATTTCCCATTCCATTACACCACCCACGCATTCAAGCTTACAGCACTTGGTATTCCCAAGTGGTCACTCATCTAGGTACTGACCAGGCTTAATACTGCTTAACTTCAGTGTTCAGATGAGAACTGATGTTTCAACCTGATATGGTCAGAAGCTGGATGAAAAATAGAAGATAATAAAAAATGAAATAAAAATTCAATATTGACAGATTTTTAAAAAATTTTTAGCTGCACATTCAAGATTTGCTAGATCTGTATGTATGCATGTATATATACTGTTGGTAAGATTTTGATTTGTTTATACAGATATTGAAAGGATTTTCCACTTTGTCAAAGAGTAACTTGAAACTAAGTACAGATGTTAGAACTTGGAGGTTCCAGACATGACTATCAGTTTTTGAATGATGGGGAAGACTGGTTGTTCCAGAAGCCTAACTTTTCCTAAGTTAGTTGACATACAACAATGTAGGAGGGACTGGAAGAGAAAAAAAAAACATTGAAGAAGTTGACAAACATAATATCATATCAAGTATTTTCCACAATTGTTGCAGAACCTTGCACACCATGCAGGAAACAAGTGGAATAGTCAACAGACAGAGACCAATAATAATTTAAGGTAGCTAGTGATATGCACATTACTAACTTCACGCGTTAAATAAGAGGCTCAGCTGCTGTGGCCTAACTGGATGGCATATTGCGTATATAGTACCACTACCTTAAAATTAATACTTGACAAAACTGAAGTAGTTGTCACAAATACAACAGTTAGTCTACATGGTATTATAATAGTAGAACCAGATCAACAATTACATTCAACACTAAATGCATTCACCTGAAGGATGGGCCACCTACAATCTTGAGAAAAATCAACAAATTGCAGACAGAATTTTTTAAAATTCAAAAAGTCAATTGTTGCAAGAAAGAAAAAAAAATGATTTAAAATTATTTTTAACGTTTACAACAATTATACTTGCTATTGTTAAAAAAATTATTAAATTAAACTGTGATTCATTTTCATATTGTTTGAATTTTATCAACAATATTCAGTTAAATTATTTCTCTGCTTCTGATATTTTGTAAAATAGCAGTTTCACAGCCATGCTATTATAGAGCAGTGATTAGCAAGTTTGTCTTAGAAACCATTGCTTGTGAACCTGTTCTTACTTGGTGCACTACTGCTGTGACCTTGTACCAGGCTAGGCAAAGTTTTATTAATATCTATACCTGATACAGTGTGATAACCAACAAGTTAATCTGTCAAACTGTTGCATGTAAGTTTCTTTTTGAGTGCTACATCAATATGGCCTTATGCCAAACTTGGTTATGTTCAACAGATATCTAATTATAGTCTTCAATTGTCTGAATGTTTTAGATGATGCATTTCCTTTGTTATTCATTCTTTAATAGTTTATCCTTCATTTTATTTTTGTTCCTTGCTTAGACCTAAAGATAGTAATAGATATGTTTCAAGTTGTCCAAATTTCTAAAATTAAACTTTTGTTACTAATTTCAGATTAATTTTTTTCACTGCATTTTATTTTTATTTTTGCTTTTTATCACAATGCTCAGATCATTTTCCATTCCACTCTTCTTTAAGCTGCATGAATCAGAAAGAAAAGTTGGAGGTTACTTTTTGATTTTTCATTCCTGCTGCTTGCTTTATGAGTCTAGTATGTAAAATAACCTTAACTGTCATAAAAGCAACTAAAATAAGATGAAAGAAAACCTGGCTAAAATTAATAAAGGCAATCAAAAAGTTTCATAAAGCTATTGGATCTACTGCAGCTACAAGAAAGGTTCTTGGCTGAGCCCACTTTCCATCAGAATTGCTTTTGGAATTTTTTCTTGGTCAGGCTGAGAAGTTTTCAGCACCCCATTGTAGGTCTAGAACAATATGGCATAGGGAAAGTAGAATAAGGAACAATGAATAAATTTTAATTTTACCTGCTGCAAGATATCTCTGGTCAAATCAAAAGTATCCTCATGTCAAACTGGCTCCCAAAAGTAGATTATAGATATTTCTAGGAGCCAATTCATGTCTCATCAGAGGTTAACATATCAAATGTATGGTGCATATTATGTGCCAAGGAATATTGCAAAAAAAAAAGTAATAATATTTAATTGATAATTCATTTTAGATATCTGTTTTTGTAACAGGAGCTTATATTTTAATATTATTTTGATTTGTAATCATAATGTGGGTGCTGAAAAGTACTTTATTTCTGATCAATGCTGCATACTTAATAGTCATATAATGGAAAATGACTTGACTGTTATATTTAAACAACAAAAATAATATGAAAGAAAAGCTAAAAAAATTAATAAATATATGGTCATGTAATTTTTCAGTGTAGATAACAATCTCAAATCTTGTTGACTTTCTTTTAAAACAGTTTAACATCCAAACAAAAAAGTATTTGTCATTCTAAAGCTTGTTTGGATGAATGAACACATTGTTTGTGTTGCTGATAGTGTTACCACAATATTTCAGATAATTCATTCTCTATTCATCACGAGGCCAACAGTCCACATGGAAAACAAGAGGCCAAATGAGGTAACAATATCAGCATTACAAAAATAAGCTCAATTGTCCAAATAAATCACTGAATGATAATGATTCTCCTCCAAATTACAAACATAAATCTTATTATAAATCTCCTTTTCTCTTTCTGAATATTCTCTAGTTCCCAAGGATACCACAAGTTGAATCCAATTCCTGACCCCTGCCTCCCTCTTGGTCTGCACCACAAATCAGCCGACCGTGTCCACCATGAAACTTATTTTGTAGGGCTTGGAGACTACAACAAATGCAAGATGAATCTCCTGCCTTTGCTGAACTTGACTGTTCCATGTCAAAAACATCCCTGCTCAATGAACGGCATCTATCAAGCAAATATCAACTTCAATAACAGCGAGTTTTATGGTTTTTCTGAATTTTGGTATTCGATGGAGGATGTTTATCGAGTGGGAGGCCATTATGATTCCATCAAGTTTGATAAAATGTCCAATGTAAGTCTGTTTTCTTTCTCTGACTCACTCACCATCACACTTACAGGTGAGATAAATTTTAAAGAAAATAAATTATAAAGAATGGTATTTCTTCATATAAATACCATTAAATACTATATACATCCTACAACAAGGCTATTTTACAGTATCCACTTTTCATCACACATCATAATTTAGATATAAAAAAATTAAATAGCTTCCAGTAGGATTTTCCCCATATGTGAAAGCCTCATATCAAAGTGACTAACATAAGCAAATTTGGGTAAATGATTATCTATCTTTAATATGATATAATGTTGATTATTTTCATATAATGCCTTTATTTGATTGCTATCAATCCCAAGTGATATGCCAGGCTATGGTGCATCATTCAGTTAAGAAATCTCCAGCACAAAACCTTGCAAACCATTTTTAACATGTTTGATTATTCGCAGTACCTTCTCCATAAACTGTAAAATCAATTTTGTTCACATGTTTGCCTTTTTTAAAATAATAAAAAACTGCATAATATGCTGAGAATGTTTATTTTCTTTTACTTTACAATCAATAAATAAAAGTAGTGAATTGGGACATTTTTCCCAAGTGTCTGCTGATATTATTAACTTTCAAAAGCAATCTTTTTAAATAAAGTCAAAACTAAATGTTTCTAATAACATCTAGCTACAAAAATAAACTTTTGGGGTGACCTAATATAAATTATTATAAAATTAACCAAAGAATAAAAATATTTAATTATCATATATTCTGTGTTGGAAATAATTTCAGGATCATTGTGCTACCAGATGGGCCAAATTAGAAGAATGGTTTAATAAAAGATACTACCCCAAATCGGATGCTCATAGACTTAGGTAAGTAACCATAGAGCTTGTCGCCTGTTTCTTTGTGTTCTTCCTTATACATTTCAAAACAATAAAGTTCCACAATATCACTTAACTGCATGTTATTGTTCACACTGTTATTATAATTAATAAAGAGTTATTTAAATTCATTTTAAGATATATTTCTTTATTAAATGCTGGTGAAATAAAAATCTAGGATTTCTTGCTTTATTCTGTGCATTACTTATTTATTTTGCCCTGACAGTTTTATCATATATTTGAAGACATGCATGTGAAAGCTTTGTAATAATAAAGATTTCACAAAATATGTTGGTATTTTTATGGCATTGATAAAATTATTGTTTATCTGAGTCTCGTTCATTTTTTTCCTAAAGTATTTTTATGTCATTGGTGAGTATATTTTTGTGCAAGTTCTCTTCACTTTCTGATAGATTTATACAAGCAATTTTTTTCTCCATAAGAAATGATAGATTCCAAGTATTAGGTATAATTCTTCATTAGTTAATTATTAGATATCACTAACAAATCCCATGATAAAAATTTTCTCAATACTTATAGGTTAGTAGTAAGTTGGGACTAATATATTCACCTCCAGTCAGGCATAAGCTGCAGGGATTCTAATACTTTACTTGGGATAGCATTGATAGGAAAACCTCACCAAAAATTTGATCTGTACAGCTTTGAGATTAAGAATTATTTTTTTTTTTAAGTTGCCTTTGAAAAATGCATTTCAAAGAGGATGGTAAATATAGTTATTAAATATCATCTGAATTTGATTTATTATTATGATTATCAATTAACTTGATTTATTAAAGTCTATACTAAAATGAAAGATCAAGTTTATGCTAAAACCCAATATCAGCTGAATTTGGTCAAGCCAATGTTAAAACATGTGCAGAAGCTAAGAAACAATCTATTGAGTGCACAAAAATGTATAATGCTTGGAAGGAGAAATCGGTGCAGAGTCCAAATTCTAATTTAGTTCATTACATTCGCTTATGTGTAAATAAACTTGGGGATGGTATGAAACCATCTCCTTCCCTAGCTATGGGTTAAATAGTAGGGTTTATATCTGCAAAAATCTTTGTTATTCTCAAAAAGAAAAATCATTCACAAATAAAGATTTATTCTTACAAGCCAAACATGTTTTAGCTTTAAACAATCCACAAAGTGTTGATAAGCCAAAAAAAAAACAAATTGATCAACAATCAACCATCTTGATTTTGTTGATTATATAAATATTTTCAAATTGAAATAAACCTTTTATTTACATACAGTTCAACTCTTACTGTGCAGACAAATAAACTTTTTTTTTTTTTTTTTTTAGCAAAACAATTTCAGTAGTGCAAGGGATATAATTTTGTATCTGTTTTAGAAAGACCATTACTTATCAGTTTCAAAGTGGAAATCTGTCCTGGGTATGATGATAAACTACATCTGGCAGCAAGGCTTCTGATTGGGAGATTAGAGGTTTTGAGGAGTGTGGAACCACCTCTTAATTTCTGTTGTTCCCAGATCCACCCTGACCTGGTGTGGTAGCACCTGTTAGTCTCAGCTATGAGCAGATAGTGAACCCCTAAACAAAAAATTAACAGCATATTTTTATAAAATGAGAAACAATACATCTTTATAGCAAAATGACAATCAATGCAACACTAAAAAAGTATAAAAATACATTTTTATATTAAAATTTCAAATAATATACTTTATGATATACAAAATATATATCTAAAATAACATACAAGTGGCGGAGGAGAGACTTAGGCATAAAGCTATATTAGGGTCAATAGTTAAAGGCAAAGTGGGATTGGGGTTTTTCCCCTGTCCGCAAACCAATATTGCCAAAGGCAAAGAAAGACGCCAACTCATCCTAGAAGAAGTCTGTGTGGGCGTAGAAGAACCGCGTTACTTTAAAATGGTCGATCTAAGTCAGCAGAGAGCCTGGACAAAATGGGAGAATGTAGAAAAGAAAAGAATTACATGGTCAGATTGCTGGCGGTCGGATTTTAACAAGTTTCATTTTCTCATCAAATCAGTATATGATGTCTTACTGAGCCTAACAAACCTGCATATATGGGGGAAGAGCGAGACCCCCAATTGTCAACTATGTGCAAGGAAAGGATCTTTACAACACATTCTTAGTAGTGGCCCAAAAGCTTTGGGTGATGGTCCGTACCATTGGCGTCACAACCAAGCAATTGCGAACGAGGTGACTAAAGCTATAAGGGCTAGTAAGCATCAACCAGGGAAGAAATTGAATCAGATTACCTTCGTAAAAGCTGGAGAGAAGATACAGAAACAGAGGAGAGAGAGAGAGAGGGAACAAGCCTGTTATCTTCCGCAGACGATTGGCAGTTGATAGTGGACCTAGAGACCCAGCTGAAGTTCCCCAGACATATAGCTGTAATATCAGTAAGACCGGATCTGATACTGCACTCTGGCAACACAAAGCAGTGCATTATTTGGGAACTATCTGTGTCATGAGAGAAATATATTACACTAGCTAATGAGGGAAAGATGTCCAAATACCAAGAATTTGTCAAACATTGTCAGCAGAAGTCATGGAAGATATACTATGACCCCGTAGATGTTGGTTGCAGCGGCTTTGCTGAACAGTCGTTGTGCAGAGCCCTAGCAAAAATAGGCATAGTTGGAGCAGTTAGGGCAAGAGCGCTGAAGGACATTACCACTGCCGTTCTGTGTCAAAATAGATCTGCGATCAGAGCCACGGAAGAAATAATGAGGATGACAAGGGAAATCTCACAATCATTATTAGGAGACGGGTTACCCATTATGAGGGAATATTGAGACAATATATTAAGTTAGGATAGTCGAACAGTTATGGATAGGGGTTGAGAATCATTGGCATATGTGGGAGGGACATGGATAGGAGTTTTTTTCTTTGCTTTTCGGTTACTGATTGCAATTATTTTATTATTTTTTTGTTAGCGCTTACTCACAGTTTTATTTCAATATTAAAGCCTAATTGCATATTTATTATGAATGGAAAGTGGGGAGAAAGATATAGTTTTGTAGTAATAATAGTCTGGAAATTTAGGGAGTTGATGCTAGTACTAATTGGGTAGATTTATTTTGAGAAATATGTATCAGATTGTAAATATGTGTATAGGTTACTTAATTGAGTAAATAGCATAATTATTTATTTATTTATTGTTATTAAACCATCAAATTATTTTTGTCGGTAAATGACAAAACAGGGAAGGAAATCTAGATAAATTTGTATGAGTTAATTTGTAGTGAATGGTTTAGTGAATTAAAGTAAATGGGGGATAGAAGTTATGTACGTATGTCAATACATGTGTGTGTGTGGGAACGTATGTCAATACATTTATGTGTGGATGTGGGAATGTACATGCAGGTGATTTTTTTTGTGTGTGTGTGTGTGATTTTATTTGAATAAGAGTATAAGGTAAGCGTTACAGATTGACCTGATAGTTAGAATAGCGAATTTCTTTTTAGAAAGTGCTAGTATAGGATAGATTTGGGTTGGGTATGTGTGTAGGTTTAGCTAAAGATTTAGTATCGCTATGGGATTAGTATTTAGTATGTAAAACATGGGCTTAAACAATGCAATAAAGATACCAGCTCACCTCGTTATGGATTCCAGAAGTAGTAAATCTAAATTGGATGAAGTAAAAAGACAACACTATATAGTAGAGGAGCATGAAAAGCCATGTTTTTCATTGGCTGACACTGACTGACATATGTCAGTAAGAACGGTCAAAGTCCAGCCTTGCTAGTTCTTATGATTACTGTTTTTTGCAATGTTGCGGCCTGACTCATCTAGAATCAGGTCGAGGTTGCTGTTGGAGCCGATATATTATGCGAAACCCAAAACCGGCGATGAGAACAGTGCATCACTGAAGACCACACTTGATGCATCTAAAATGTATGATTTAACTACCTTTACTCTAAAAGTATAAAATTATGTACAAAATATCTGTTGTTGAAAGCATAAAATTATGCAAAAAATATGTAGATTTTGACATTAAACAATCCAATGTAAAATTCTTATAAGTACGACCCCCTGTTTTTCTCTTTCTCTTTTTATTAAGGCATACCAAATACACTGCAGAGTAAATCTGCACATGAAACCTAGAATTATTGATGATACATTAGTTGGATGATTCACTTATAGGATCAGTTCATTCAGTATATTTACCACATTTTGTGTTGGCTGCCATTATATCATTTTCTGGTATACACAACAGAAAAAATAAATTTCCTCCACTTTACACACAGATTGTACATCTAAAGAAAGTCATAGAATGGATTGGCTAAAACATGAGAACAACAAAAAAAAAATCAATGATTCGTGGAATGGTGACTCCACTCAAAATTTCAAAAGATAGCTTTATGATCCTATTCTAATTATATATAATAAATATCTAAAATGTTTTTTTTCTTCCTTTCATTTCATTTTAACAGGTTGCAGTGTTTCAAAGCAGCTTGGATGTCTGTTGTCCTTCATCATGGCTTCAAATTTCCCCGAAATTACCGACATTTCTACTCCACCCAAAAAATTGATGGCAAAGATGTCCAGTGGACACTGGGTGCACTTATTCACCGGTCGAGATACTTACCTTTGCGGTGAGTATATAGTAACACAAAATATCGCATTAAAAGGAAGCAAATTGCAAAATGACACGAAACATTTGGGATGTGCACAGAAATTTGACCTGGCTTTACCTTCATGATCACTTAAAACCTTGTTTGGGAAACATCATTAATTTTTTTAATTTGTCTATTTTCTTTCTTCTATCTTATTTTTGTTGTTTTTAATTGCAACATTCAATTTTTTAATTTTAAAATCATTAAGCAAACAAAAGGAATTAGAAATTAAACAAAACAATCTGCCAGAAAGATTTGAACTCAAATCCATATAGTTATTCTTTATTTCTCCAATTGCTATGCCATGACTGCGGAAAAGGGTTTACTTCAGTGAAGCTGGCCTGTAAAATCTTCATAGCCAAGACAATAACACTATTGGTAGGAGAAAAAAGTCTTCCTAGGATAAAGGATACAAGTTCAAGTCTCACTGGAGGCTTGCTCTTTATTTCTAATCCATGCTTCTTGATTCACTAAGAGTTCCAATAAAGAACAACAGAAGTGAAAACTGCATGTATAACACTTTTTGCTTATGTGATAAGATAGATAATGGAAAACCAGCCATCCACTTAAAGTCAAATTCAAAGAACATAACGCCATAACCCAAGGTTTATTGAAAAAATCTAGTATGGTGGACCATATCTGAAGGGAGAAGTAGTAGACATTACTCGAATGTATCTGGAAGGGAATAGATATTACACAACCGTATTCTTTTTTAATCTTTTCACCCCAAGCAAGTTGTGAATGCCAGGGGGTTACAGAGAGTGAAGGTGAGAGAAGAGACTGGGTACAAGAGAGACTGAGGAAAGGATAAAAGCTGAATGGGGTTCAAGAAAATAGAACATGGTGATTGACATTGCATTTAAATTTTTGAAGATTGTAGTTATCTGAGAAGCAAGGAAACAGAAGGGAGTTTCACAAAGAAGGTGTGAAAAAAGAAACTACTGGAATAGAAGTGGCAGTTACATTTAACTCTTTCAACAGTAACAGTTGATGCCAATTTAGTAGCACGTTTAAACTCGTGTGGTTTGGGCACCAGGGAAAAAGCTTGTCAGAGCATTTGCCATGAAAATATTTGTAGAAAAGACAGGGAAGCCGTGTTAGTAAGAAAGTGACTGAAGTCGAAATGTCAAGTCAAGGTCAATTACATTGCAAATCTTTCTTTGGATTTTTTCAAGAACCTCAAGATGAATAGCAGGAGCACCTGACCAGATATGGCAACAGTATTCAATGTCCAGATGAATAGCAGATTTGTAAATGTGCAAGATGGACTCTGAAGAGAAAACCTTTTGGCACGATACAGTGACCCAACTTTCCTTGCAATAGATGTGGCTATTGATTTGATATAGTTGTTCCACTTCAAGTCAGTAGAAAATGTGAGGCCAAGAAGGTGCAATGTCTAGCATTAGCCATGCTGATGGCAGGCAGGAAAGTTTCTCTATGGGGATTAAATGAGAGCAGTTTCAGTTTGGATGTATTCAAATTTACAAACCATTTCCTGTACCAGTTAACCACAAATTGGAAGTCCTTTTCAATAGCAGTCGCCAGGTTAACTTTGCTCTGACAGAGTTGCTATTGAGGCAGGAGTAAATGATAGTGTCATCAGCATAAATGTCTACGTGGGAACTGATGACATCAGAAAGATCATTGATAAAGATCAGAAACAGTGTAGGACCTGATAGAGCCTTCGAGGACACCCATATTCGTGTGAAGGGATCTGGAAGCGAGCATGTTCAGAACAACTTTCATTTCACGATTTGATAGGAAAGATTGGATTAAATCAAGCAATCAGCTTGTAATGCCGTAGCTTACATAGAAGACCAGTGTGCCAAACCCTGTCAAATTAGATATCTAGAGCCACAGCTCAAGTTTCACCATTATTATCAAGAGCTTGATATACATATTCAGTGATGGCTGTTAGCCCATCAGCAATAAACCTGACAAAATGGTAGCCTTCTTGTTTGTTAGAGCATACGTTGTGAGTGGTAAGATGCTTAACCACTTCAGCATCGATTAAAGCCTTGAATACTTTGCCAAAAGGTGGTAGAAGACTAATACAGTGATAGAGGGGTCAAAATCTTCTGCAAAGTTCTTAAAAACAGGAACTACAAATGAGGATTTCTAACAAGTTGTAAAGCAGGAAGTAGCGAGGCAATGTTGTAGAGTTTGGAGAGAGCTGGAGACAGCTCAGGAGCACATTTCTTTAGGACAACAACTGGGATCCCATTACCTTCGCTTGCTTTATGGGAATCTAATTTAGAAATGATGTCTGAAACAAGTGATGGGGTTATGCGCATATCACTCAGTAGAGCCTCAGTTCTATGGGGGAAAATCAGGTGTGAGTACTCCAAAAAAGTTGAGCGTTGAGTTGGAAGAGAATTTCTGACCAAAGCATTCAACCTTATCTGCTGTAGATGTCAGAACTTTGAATTAATTAAAGAGAGAAGGGATTGAAGTTTTGCTATTGTTCAGCACACTCTTACAAAGTCACCAATAATCTCTAGAACTGAATTTGCAAGATGCTATATGTTGGTTCCTTCTATCAGCAAACAGCAGCTTCGCTTCTTTGAGGACACACTTGCACTCATTATGAGCAGAGACAAGAGATGTCTGTTGCAATCAGATGTGTCACTCTAGTACAGCTAGAAGAAGTGATTCCTGTGAACAATAGCAGCCAAGTGTTCGTGTGAGAACCAAGGACATGAATATGACTTAAGTTGGTATTTCCTTGCTGGAATGAAAGCATCAATGCCAGTTCTCACACAGGAGGAGACCTCAGACGCACATTTTTGAACAGGAAGATTAGAAACTTCATTCCAAGGGACATCACAAAGGAAATCATGGAACAAGTCCCAATCCACACATTCTGTTGGTAGGATGTTCTTAGTTGGTGGGGGAGCAAAAAGAGATGTTTACACATACTACAGCATGATCAGAGTTGCCAAGAGGGCAGAACTGTAGGGTACAACATGAATCAGAGATGGAGGTAAAAAAGAGATCTAGAAGAGAAGTGTGTCCATCAGGGTTACTGGGGAAATGCATGGGGAAGTTCATCACTTGTGTGAGAGTGTGAGTGATTGAGAAGTTCGGGGCTTGGACGCCAGTGAGATCAGTGATGAAGTACTTAAGCCACCTGGCATGGTGGGCATTAAAGTCACCGAACACAAATATATTTACAGACAGGTGTAGTGAGATGGCCTTGTCTATATTATCAGAAATACTATCTAGCATGCAACAATCATGAGAAGAAGGGGAACGGTAGAGAAAGAAGAGATAGCTGACAGTTTAGTAGAGAGAGATGGAGACACATGTAAGAATGGTCTGGAGATTAAAGAGAGAACTCCCTAGCCAGCTTGAGATGTTTGCAGACATAAACTTCCAGGCCATGCATGTTGACATTAGAGTCCTTCCTAAAGAAAGGAAGATAGCCAGGAATTGAGAAATCAGAGGAGGGGATTGAAGGGTTAAGATTAGTTTTGCAGATAGCTAGGAGGATATCTGGAGATTTTTTGAAGAGGAAAGATTCCACATTGCAAAAGTTGGTACAAATACCATGAATGTTGGATAAAGAAAGCTTAAGGGGTTTAGGTGTTTTTTGTTAACCCATTTGTCTATCTTGAAAACAATATTTTAGTTCCCTTTAAACAAAGGGGGTATTGAAACCAATTTGTTTTATTTTTTTTATTTCCCTCTTTGTAAATTACTTGACTGGATTTTGGTAAACCAATATTGGTATTTGCAGAAATCTGAAAGGAGGAGAGCATACATTTCTCCCTCTGGGATGAGGTCCAGATAAGGAGAGTAAGGAACTAAAAGAATCAAAATTTCTCAGCCAGGTGCTGAATCAGACAAGCACAGATTTTAACTGTGATGTTTATTTATTTAACAAGGTGGGTGTTAGTGTTATAGACAAGCGTATGGTTGCAAGAAAGAAATACGACAACAGCAGAAATAGATTTACGTGATTTATTTCAACAGGAACGTGAGGGTTTGTGACAGCTACTTTATGGTATAGTTCATAAGCCGGCTTCAGATCTAGGTCGATCTCTCATAGTAGTTCACACAGGTTGACGCTGGGGCTCCCCTGCTGACAGCTGCTGACCACTCGACCTGACCGTGACAGGTCTCTTCCCTGGCACCTGTTGACTGCCGTTGTACTTTCGTGTGACCCGTTTTATGGCGTTTTTTTTTTATGGCTTGACAGGCTTGAAAAACGAAGCGAGTATAATTAGGAGTGAAGCATTTTTATTGGACGAAAAATAGAACACTTTAAATATTATTTTATTTTTCGACCGGAACTTGTGCGTCGGGAACATTTGTAAACAAAGATAATGGTCATTTTGTGACGGAGCCTTGTCCCATTCACATCCAGCTCTCGCTCTTGAGTATGTTAGTTTATTTGCCTGTAAATCAACCGAGATATGTCTTATTTTATTTTATAACATTAGGAAACTCTCCACTAGATATATTTTGGTATTACCTCAGTGTGCACTTGGTATAGTCAACACTGGAGGAATGAATTGCTGCAAATGGTATTTATTAATAATCATTTTCCATTGCTATTTTTTCTTTTTTATGAAAAAAATGTTTTCTTAACAAAGGTGAAGAAATAAATCAAATGAAATATTAAGAACAAGTATACAAACAAGAATTTCAGTGTTGGCTAAATTAAGAAAAAATAACTAAATTAATACAACAAAAATAAGGAAAAGTTCTTATTTTTGTGAGTGGTGAGAGTTTCTGGTAGTAAAACATTTTTATAACTTTTTTTTTGTTTTTATTATGTCCTTTTTTAAGGTTTTTTCTTTAATTTACTTATGTTTATATTCCAAGTAATTTTTTCTTTACTTTTTTTTTTCTTTTCAGGGAAATTGACCAATCATATGACAGCAACAGTCTCCATTCAAGCCTGTGGGCTTCCAAACACACCCACCACTTCTACTATGAATACCTAATCCTCCTCTGCTTCTTTGTGGTTGTCATGGCAATTATTCTCTATGTGCGTCGTCTCCGGCTTATCCCTTCTTCCTCTTCTTCTTCCACATCCCCTCTCTCCTCATCCTCCCCTTCTTCCTCCCCTCTCATATCACCCTCATCACCAACCCTTGTCTCATCAGCATCATCCCCACTTCTTCTCAGCAGTAGCGTTGGAGGCAGCACCACCCTGAACCGTGTACCTTCTGCATCTTACTTCATGTCGGAGGACAGCTCTTTCAGCATAGGAGGAATGAGCATGTCCTCCAAGATGATGGACTCGGCGGGTGGTTTGTATTTCAAAAATTCTGCTTATTCTTGATACTGGCTACAAACTTAGTCCTGTTGTTAAAACTTGTTATTCTTCCTTAAGTTAAAAAAAATTTTTTTTTTCATGGTGGTAATGGTGGCCTCTGAGTTGAATCAATACATTGATCAATAGCAAACAGGAAATACTGACTCTACCAGCAACTCTAGGATTTCCATACCTTTCTTGTAATATGAACATTCAATTACTGTATCTTACTGTAGGAATACCAGAAAGTAATGTTATTTTTATTTTAAGAAAAGAGAAAAACATTTATTGTCTGATTACCATTATTATTTAACCCATTTGTCTATCTTGAAAACAATTTTTCAGCTCCCTTTAAACAAAGGGGGTATTGAAACCAATTTTTTTATTTTTTTTATTTCCCTCTTTGTAAATTACTTGACTGGATTTTGGTAAACCAATATTGGTATTTGCAGAAATCTAGTTCATTTGGATAAAAATGGCAAGACGTTTTTGGTAGCTGGAGTTGCATTTGTTAACCAGACGAAATTCCTAGAGCATACAATGATGTATAAAATCTCTCTTAACTGTATCAGTTCTTGAAGAGATTTCTATCATTAAGTCTTAGGAGTCCTGCTGACTGGATTGTTGATAAATCTGTGATGTGAGTGTAATTAAATTGATATGTCTCAAAAACCATTGAAAATGAAGTATTGCAAGTTATATAAAGGCAAATTGATTTCTCTTTTAAATGATGCCAGATTTAGCCTCCTTTGTATTATTGGTTATGAGATACGGTTTTCAAAAACTTTTACAAAGTTGTAAATTCCTCTAGATGATTATGTGACGAACACTGTAATGAAATACTGTGCTGTATGATTGAAGGTGCATTCAGACACTCATGCACTGCAAGCATGTGAAACTTGTGGGTGCATTTGAGTACTTTCCAGCTTTAAATGGTTAAATTGTTTTTTTCACTCTCTCCCATACAGTAGAACTTGGAAAAGAACACAATATCAGGATTATTTGAAAGCAGATTTATTTTAGTTGGTGTTGAATACTCAAGAAATAACACCCAAATTTATGTTACATAAAAATGACATTATTTTCTGGTACCTGTAATAGTAATAAAAGTACAACTATTATTATTATATCAGGTTATTTACTTAACATAGTCTGGCATAAGGCCATAATGTAGAGCACCCAGTGATGATTGAATTCAATTACTCAGCAAGTATTGTATTCACTACCATATTAGGTGCACTTTTTTTTCCACTTCAAAATAAACACCTCTAAAAATCACCCTGCATCTTATAGTGCTGGGTTTAGACTGTAGACTAATAGTTCTGTGATGACCCCAGAGTAAAAGCTATATGAATATATCTATGGTAGATCTGTTCCAGGAGAGTTTTACATTCAGCTACTGGTTGATGGTGGTAGAAACTAAACACAGTCTGTCTTATAACTAGTAGATGCTGCTTTATGTGTCTTGCTGCTGCAGTAAGGTGACACTGGAGTTTTCTTTTCAGGGTGCAGGCCTGGGTAGAATTTTTTTTTTTTTTAATGGGAGATTGACAGTTGCCCATACAACACATCTGTCCTCTCCATGCCACCAATGTTGTCCAAAGGAAAGGCAATGGCCAATAATGCTTATCAGCAGTGTCATCACAGGAGTGGTCAAAATGAGATTGGATGCAATGTCAAACTGCCTTTGAGAATCTGGCTCTATATTTTATTCTCAGGTTTTATTGCTAAATCCTTTCCAATGGATTGGTATGGCTACAAAGCAGCAGAGGTTTTCTTTCTCTGACTGCCAACCCAAGCTAAAGAGTTCCATCTACTTTATATACACACCCCATATATGATTATAGATTTTTTTTTTAAGGGAATTGATTTTCTTTCATTAAGAGAACAATAAATGGTTATAATATCCGGTGAAGACAGTGGATGAGTAAAAACTTCCCAACCAAGTTGTGACAAGTTTTGTGTAACCAACAAAGAAACATAATGCTTAATATTAACTTTATGGAATATTACACTGTTTCTTATGTAATTTTTTTCCTTTTTTTAATCATTTCACTTCAAACAAGTCAATAATGCCACTAAGATATTATGGGCTGGTGGGAGTGAAAAAGAATTAAGACTTTAGAATGAACCAGAAATCCAATCCTAAACTGGGAACAAGGGATATACTTCTACTCCTGTTCAAAAGACTGGAGAGGAGGGCAAACCTACCCACTCCTATTGAGAAGTGAAATTACTAAATAAAATTTCTAAGATCAGATGGAAACTTCAGAACTATAGAGTTGAAGTAGACTTTAGAAGGAACTGGAAACCCAATCCTAAACAGGAAACAAGGGATAAACCTCTCTATTTCTCTTCAAAAGACAAATGAGGAGTGTGAATCGAGTGATAGGTAAACCTATCTAATCCCATTAAAGATTATTAAATTATGATTACCAATGAAAATAATAAAATATTTTTTAAAAACACACACTGTAAAAGGATGGATGAAATATCAGTTGATTATTATTACTTTTTTCTAAAGATTTTTTAAGAAATTAAAAGTGCATATTATACACAAAGAAATACATTAACTATATTTACTATAAGTTTAATTATAGGCTCACAAAGCCACAGTTGTCTGGCTGCAAGTATTAAACTCACTATACTAGCAAATTGGCCTGTAAAACAAGTTTGCTAACCATCATGCTACAATAGATGCCTCAATTATTTACTAAGCCTTGTCTGGCACAAGGCTGAAAATGTGGGGTGCCCAGTATGGATTGAACTCACTCTAGTATTAATAGTCTATTGGCTACCTGGCTAATCACTAATCCACGGCCAAAACCTATTGACTAAGATTAGTTTTATCTGGCACATAGCCACAAGTGTGAGACATTCAGTGAAGCCCGGTCACTATAATAGAAGTGGGTGCTGAAAAGTGCTCTGCCCAACCCACTTTCCAATATCAGTATTTCAGTTGCCAAACACCTTAATATGGATTTTGGGAAATGCGTTGAGCTAGTAATTTTTCAGCACCCCCTTGAGATCTGTTTGGTTACCTTGTTGTGTGCAAAAAGAACGGTGTCAATCACGAATTTAAAAATGTGCTTCATTACAAAAAGAAATTTTTCTTTTGAAAGAAATTAAACAAGCTTTGAACACCTTTTAACAAGTTTTTTCTCTGACTTTATTGAAAACGTATAAAACTGAAATGAAAACAAAATGCATGTAAAATCCTTTTATTTCAGATTTTCAAATCATAAACAATAAAAATCAAAGAGTAAGAACTATACAATTTCTATAATTTCTTAAAAGAAAATATTTTATCACCAGGATTGAAAATCATTTTTAATCTACATTTTAAATTTTACAAAGAATGAATATGTAGTCAGTTGTTAACCAATCAAAAAGAAATTACAAATCTAGAAATCATCTGTCCATTTAATATACAAAAAATAGCCTAGTTAGGACAGCTAAGTCCCTTTCAAATTACTCCCATTTAGGAGTCACACATTTATTTTTGCATTGCTTGTATTTTTCAAATTAGTGTGCAGTCCTCTTTATGAGTGACTATAACTTGACTCCGTCACCCATACTCACTCAAGACCTGTAGACTTCCAGAGGAGTATGGAGCCCAAACTCTCAGCCTGCTAGGCATTGCTTGTATAGTTTTCAGAGCAACAAGTAAGTTTTTACACGATGGAGCTGCTGGCCCCACGTCCTACTGGTTTTGGATTCATGGTTGTTCTTCTCCTAGACTGGTTACCAACTATGGCTAAAGAGCTCAGTTTGTCTTACTATTTAACCCATAGGTGGGGGAAGAGATGGATTCATACTTTTCCCAAGTAAGCGAACATAATGAACTCAACCAGAATTCCAAACTGCTGCCTCTTTGCATCTCCTGCACATCCCATTACCTCCACTGACTCATTACATTCTCCTTAATATTGTGTACAACCTGAAATCACCCTTTCAACCATGAATTTAGCATTGGTGAAAAAAACAGAAGTCACAAGAACCCAAATCTGGACTATTGCGTGGTTGACATACCTGGATGATATGAAGTTTTGCAAAAAGAATGGGCAGTGTCATGATGAATGTGATAGTAATATAGTATGAAGCTAACTCAGTGATATTTCACTACTGTCCTGAGAAACACCATAGGAGTGTGGCTGTTTATACATGCATGGTAAGGTCCTCTTGGTGATGAAGTTATATCAAAGATATGCAACTGGTTCTATATATATTTAAAATGTCTATATACATTCTGGACTGATCATGTATTCTCTTTGTCTTGATTCCAATGATTTCAAATAAAGTGTGTTCCAATAACATGGTCTGATTTTAAATGTGAATTAAGTTTAAGAGTCTATTTTTTTTTTTTTTTTTCAGATTTAACAACTTAAGTCTTTGGCAATTTCAACCATGGAAAGATTAACAATCAAATGTGTTAAAGTTATCAAAGCCTATTACGAAAATAGATGTTCAAGCAGAAATGCATTTTGCACACTTTGCAATTTTTTGGTGTACATAACTGACCAACCAAGAGTGCAATTGGAAACAATGTAACATTGTTGTGGAGAGGTTCAATTCCTGCACACAATGATGAATAGAGGGGGTCTGGATTTTCGGCCATATTCTCGTATACTGAAGCAATGTTTTCAGTTGAATGGCGTAAACAAGCATGCAATGGTGTTTTCACATCTGCCACCGACCCAGTTTATTCGAATTTATGAACAATTTTTCCAATTGCACTGTTGAAACTTTAACATGTTTGATTGTTAATCTTTACATGGTTGAAATTACCAAAGACTTAAGTTGTTAAATCTGAAAGAAAAAGAAAAAATCGTTAGATGCTTAAACTTAATTAATTCACATTTAAAATCAGTCCAAGTTATTGGAACACCCTTTATAAGGTTTGAAGAATTTTTAGCAGGGAAAGTGTTCATTAATATTACAACAATTTTCTAATGTTAACAACTTTGATTGATAAAATCCTGTTCATCGATACAAAGGATGAAAATAGCTTTTTAAAAAATCCTGAT